ACTCTTTCTGATTGATATGCACAACTTCTCAAATTAGACAAGGTTTATCTCTACAAGATATTAATCTTCGGCTTTTTCAAAATGCGATCCACGTATAATGTAGCCTCTTTTAATTGATACAGTAACGAATATATTGTTGATCTCGATCTCACCCATAAAAAAATATATGACACTCATAAGTTAAAATTTTGACAAGAAACCACACAAAAAACACAAAAAGAATAAATATAAACAATTTACCGGAGTTGGATTAAGATCAGAATGAATAAAACTTAGCACCATTAATAAGATTTAATGGACATATATTTTTGTTAATTCATTATAGAAATACTAAAATTGTGAAATAGAAGAAAAGAAACAAAGAAATTCCTTCCAGAGAACGAAATATCCAAGGTGTCCCTCTTCAGTGGGAAGAATTATCTAAATTTGGGATGAAGATAAGAAGAGAGAGAATTACGAAGAGAAGAGACCCTAAAGCTATTATGTTATGCAACCAATTAGAAGTCAATTTCTAATTCATTTACAACCCGAATCTAATCCTGCATCAAATATCAACATTAACATTTTTGAGAGTTGAGAAGCCAGGATTAGATTTAGTATATACATAACATATATATATATATATGTATATATATGCGCACACACAAACTATTGATTAATTTATCCCTAATACTATATATTGATTTTTATGTGGTCTGGAGGTCACTTATTAGAGTTTGATTTTTGAAGAATTCCATTACTCAATATAGATAATCACTAAGCAAAATAATTTAATGTGGAGTTTACGCCCAACGGCCCAAGTATACTTATCCGTGTTCAATTAATTACTTATAAATTAATGTCATTTATCTGGTACGATCTTTATACATCTACTTATACTGATCTTCCATTTGGCTGATAAAATTAGAATCACTTTCTTGACAATTACTCAATAGACCTTTTTGAGAAACAGAAATACCACTTTCTGGACAAATAATCGACGTCAAATGAGGTAAAATTAAAAAGTAAACTATTTACAGTTGCATGTAAGCATCTGGTTATTTCATGCCGTTAAATTTGGTAGATCGATAATGTAATTATAAGGAGAGGCAAGTACAACCTAGACATGCATACCTATATGTATGTATGTGTGTGTGTGTGTGTATATATAGGTTATGGGATAACCTACTAATTAGATAAGACATTAACTTTTGTTCAAAAACAGATCAAACAGTAGTAAGGTAAAAAAATAAAGAAAATAAAAGATTAAAAAAAAAAAAACAATGGTAAAGTGGGGACTTGAAGTAATAATTGCACAAAAATGAAAACAAAAATTCAAGGTAGATGCAAGTATTGCATATGTGGACCCATATAGGTCATATATGAACGGTATAACTTGTTTGATATATTCACACACTCAATCCGGTAACTCTTACGTAGACAGCGATACATATATATATATATATATATATATTTGTGTATTACATATGAGGGAAGAGAGGGAGAGAGAGTAGAAATGGGTGCAGTTCTAGGGATAGAACTGGGGTTGAGGGAATGATATAATTACTTGCTTGCTCTTCTATTTTTCTGTATATATGTTATAGTGTAAATGGTTATACGTTTTTTCTTTTGAGGACCACCTCTGCAAAAATCCCTGCAACATATATAAAACAGCCAACAAAGCTATAAAGAATCAAAACCAACAATTAGTACGTACTTTGGTCCTGGAGAGAGAATTGGATTTACCGAACAAGTAGGGTCATTTTTCTTTTCTTTTTTTTCTTTCCTCCCACGAATTACTAAACTTTTAAAAAGAAAAATAAAAAAGAAGGAAAACTTACTATGGAGGTGGTGATTGATGGATATATATATACTCGTACACGCATACATACAACAAGAGAGAATATGAGGAACCAGACAGATCTGCTGAGAAAAAGTCAGTGGTGAAACTTTGCTGCGATAGACTGTGCATGACCATGCCATTCTCCAGGCAGATAGATCAGCTAATGCCAAAACTTTATTTGGTTTATAGGATTCTCCCTAAAAAACTAATAATAATAATAATGATAATGATGATGATGATGGTGATGATGAATGAATTAGTCATGAATTGGAATCTCTTAGCTCTCTCAAACGGGTTAGCACCCGATTCATTTAAAAAAGAAAAAAACTAATTGGCAAGTAGTGCATAAGAGTTTTTTTTTTTTTGTTTTTTTTTATTTTGTTCATTTTTTGTTTTGGGATGAAATGTAGTTAATTACACAGAAATTAGGATAAAAATAAATAATTCATTACCAAAATTATATTAACTTATTAATTTTACTTTCTCATCAATAGTCAATTCAGCATTGCGATGAAGCGTTCAAACAAGAGATTAAGCTTGAATAGCTTTTTGTCGAAAATCCATTTAATTAATTGATTAGTAAAGTGACAATTGGAATCATGATAGTATATAATTATGTTGATATTGTCATATGCGAAGTAAATATAGTTTATATTCTAATCAATGCGACTTTCACGATATATCAAATCAAATCCACACCGATATGTAAAACAAATATTAAATCACAATCAATATGTAATAGTTGATGTCTGCGCATCCAAATTAATGTGGGAAGACAGTCGCTAATAAGCTGAGCTGTTTAATCCTTGATGTGACAACTGATTATAGTGTTATGCACACATACAAATATGTATATGTATATGTTATAGAATGCTAAAAGTACAATGTGATATATCATACAAGTAAAACTCAAAAAAGGAACAACCAAAATAATAATGCAGTCCATTTCGCTAATTAGAGCTTGATTGCATGGTACAAAAGCTAATTTCTTATTCTTAAGGCCCCATTTAGTTATTATACTTGAATCCATAATCTTTATTATGTTACTGTATTTCAAAGAATTTGAATTCAAAAATTTATTTTTTCATAAAATTTCCGCCAATGAATTAGAATCACTGACTTGAACGTGTAAATCAAACCGACCCTAGCCTAATCATTTTTCATGCTTTGCAGCAACACATTTTAGACGTGAAAATTATCTGTTTACAATAATGAAAAGTTGAAAACTACATTAACCTATAATATCTCCTATAGCTAGGCTCAACCTCTGCATTTGCTTAAAATTTTATAGTTAAATATGATCTCCACCTCACACGTCGTTATCATTGTTCATTATTACTATTTTACTCAACATTTTCAAGAAAATTAATGCTTTAATTAAGAATTAGAATTATAGCAAAATTTAATTCCATCACTTTTGCGTTCTCCATATGGTGGTCTCCACTTTACTAATATTTAGATAGAGATAAAGGCTTATATTTCAAAAAACTTTATTATCAAAATACACTCATATTAATATATATAGGTATAAATACATATTACGTTTGGGGTGTACTAAGAAGTTTCCGTCCATATCAAACCAAAAACAAGAGAAATAATAATAATAATGATAATAATAATAATAATAATAAATGGAATTGGGAAAGATGGGATATTGGTACTTTGAGTTTGAGAAGCGAAAGCATTCTCTCAAGAACTTGGCGTTGTCAGGCTTTACTCTCATATAGGTCCCACCAAACCCCTCCCTTCTTTCCTCACCCCCACACACTTTCATACTTCACACTCAACACCCACAAATTTCAACACATAACTCAAACTCTTCTCTCTCTCTCTCTCTTCCATATTTTTCTTCTCTCTCTAGTTTCCCTCACTAAATTCCTATTGTTAATTCTCTTAGTTGAACTCTTTATTTCTTCATGGACAAGACCACCTCCGAGAGAGAGACTCACGATTTCATGAACGTGGAGTCCTTCTCTCAGCTCCCCTTCATCCGGCCAGCTCCGGTTAAAGAAAAAGGCGGCGGCGGCATAAGGCTCTTCGGCAAAGAAGTCGGCAGCTGCGGAGGCGGCGGCGATGTCGCCAACGCTGAAGACTCGCATGATCAGTCGGCTGACGTCACCAATGCCTACGGTGACGGCGGCGGCGAAAACGATTCGTCCTCGAAAAACAATAACAATCACTACAATGAAGACAACAGCAACAGTAAAAAACAACAACGGTAAGGGCGGCGAGAGTAGCCGCCGGTTCGAGTGCCACTACTGCTGCCGGAACTTCCCTACATCCCAAGCCCTAGGGGGCCACCAAAACGCCCACAAGAGGGAGCGGCAGCACGCGAAGCGGGCCCACCTACAGTCCGCCATGGTGCACAGCGGAAGCCTCTCCGACGGACACGTGTACGGCCTCATCAATTACCACCGTCTCGGCTCTTCCCCCGCGGCGGCGGCTTATCCCACGTGGGCCGCCAATTCTAGTAGCGCCACTAGGTTT